CTTAAAAATGTGCACCGTGCACTCATCATGACCGTAAAGCGAAATACAGTGAGGTAAACTTCACTGATTGCGGCCAAACTCGCAACGCAATTTTTATAACTTGGTGATGAACAGCCGAGGAGAGAAGGCCCATAGTCCCACTGTTCATCTAAACCATCACGTTGAAGCACACTCAGCTCACGCAGTGGCTCTGACTCAGCGTGCAAGACCTGTTGGAGCAGACAGGCGATGATGAGGTAACCGACTTTGACCCGTCAGTTAGTCGAAGAATGAACTGCATCAGAACTAATGCGTGGTCCGACTCAATGCAGGTGATCCAATAGGACCTGCAATTTTGCACTGAGCCATGCCAACGATAGCTTAGTGCTGTGATCGATTTGAGTGGGCGTACCAGTTGAACTGGAGCCACGGTGTCGTTCGCCGAAAGCTGCGTCGGAAGTTGGTACTGGATTGAAGCAGATGCTAGTCTGTGTAGAACTGAATAAGTCAATCGCTGTTATCTGTCCGCTGGCGGGGCAAAGCACAAGTACTGCCTAGGCAATCTTCTGATGCGCTCTGTTTTCCAACCTGCATGTTAAGGTCACCTGTAAGTACACATATACGAATAGCATACTGTAAAAACGAGTAGGGGAACATTTATGTAAGACCCAGTTTATTGATTGTTTAAAAAGTGTAGGGTTGTAAGCTTGGGGGGAACCAGCAAGTGGGAGGGTGTTCCGCAGTTTGGCGGTTCGGGCGGTAAAAAGAAGATTGGAGTAGAGAGGTACGATATTTGGGAACAAAAACCTGATACGGATGACTAGATGCCTGTGTACGAGATGGGCGAGTAAAAGTTGCAGGAAGAGGAACTGCTGAGGCAAGTTCCGAAGACAAAAACCAAAGTAGTAGCGGTAGAACAGGGACAATGAAGCAACTGCCCGACGATGGGCTAGCGACTGCAGACTGGATGTTAGGGAAGGATTATTGATTAACCGGATGGCCTTTTGTTGAACACGATTAAGAAGGGGAAAAAACAGAGGAAGTCCAGCCCCACATGTGACTACACTATCCAAGAGCAGGGAGGATTTGGGCTTTGCACAATAGATGAGCTGGGGTGAAAAAACGTCTGGCGCGAAAGAGAAATCCAACCTTGCGCGCAGCACGAGAAGCAAGCTTAGCTATAAAAACGGACCAGCATAAAGAAGTTATGGGCAATCCAAAAAGGGAAACAGAAACTGTGGAACGCAGTTGGGTGGAATTAAAGGATAAACGAAGGGAGAATGAATGGTTTTAAGGAAAGTGAAAGGAGAGGTTTTCGAACTATTGAATGAAACGTGGTTTGCAATGCCCCAGGAGATGTGTTCGAGATCGGAGTCCAGTGACATTAACTGCACTACAGTCACCATGGATGTTTGTGTATCACAACCGCAATTGGTCGGTGCGTATGCCGACATGATGAACAAACACGTCTTTCTTTCTCGGTAGCTGATTCAGTTCAGTTCAGTTCAGTTTTTACAACCATTAACCATGCATTTTCGTACGCCGGTTATGGTGCCCCATTTGGATAAAGGAGCAGAAAGAAGACTAGAATGCTGACAGCGAATTCAAGCGAAAGATGGAGAATTCATTTAGAATAGTTAGGAAAATAATCAGTAGCTGCACGAGCACCACTGTTTGCGACATCCAGCCGATTGAACCTTCGAGACGCGTTGCACATAAACGACTGATGACGGGGGTTCGACAGATAAGATAGGACTCCTCTCTGTTACTGAGTACAATATCTACCCCGGGCTGACTTCGTCGTCGCACGATGTGCGAAGAAGGTACCCCGAGGACAAATCTGGTGCGGTCAAAAGGCTTCAAGTAGTTAGACCTTGAATTTGATTCTTCGATGCACTTTTATGTGATGGTTTCGGTTGTCAAGTTGGTTGATCAATGAAGACGTAAACGAGAGAAGTAATGAGCCGAAATCCTCAATATGGGGATGGGTGTCTAGGGTTGCGGCTGGTCACCGCTCCCTTGCACCTCGTGAAATGCTCCGATACGACCAAGCGTCTCAAATAGCCTCTGCTTAGGAAGTCCTACTCACTGCCTTTTCGTGGCGGTGTTCTAGGACGAAAGTGAGAACGAAAAGCCGATACCCGAGGCTTAACCGGGTTGGTGAACCACTGGTAGTTCACCCAGGGAAGTTGACTAAAAACCTTGATTCCAAACCAACCAAGAGGCGTACGGACCACACCCACACCTTTCCGGTTGCGGTAGTGGTCATCGGCTCGATTTGGCATTGAGGTGTATTGGGCACCTTGGACGTTTGACCCCGTTTGAAAGGCGCATGATCCGATGAACTGGACATCGGCCTACAATAGATTGCGGTTTTCGCACACCGCCCCGCTGTCTAGCGGGTCAGGATTTGGGTAGGCAAAGGTTTCAAGGTTCACCTGCCTTAGATTGAGCAATCTGGCGGTACCACACCAGGTTTATGTTTTAGAAAGATTATTGAACTATGATTTGATAGGCAGTCTAAACTGAAACATGTGAAACAGTATGAAATATTATACTAGTTCAACTTGGGACCAAGACGAATGAAGTACTGGTTTCAGAGCGTCAGAAAGAAAAATCAAAACTGGCCTACATTGTGTTTGCCAATATGCCCATGGATGAGAAACCTGAACAGTAGCTCTGATATGATAATTTAACGCTCAATTTCAGTTGTTACAACCACTAAGCATGCACCTTCATGATCCGTCCAATCGGTGTATAATTCGATGAACTGGACACTGGCTCTCAACTGGTTGTGATCTTCGCACACCGACTCACTGCTTATTGGACCAAACTTCGGCTATTTGAAGACTCCGTCTGTAAATTCCCCAATAAAATTCAGTAGTATTGGTCTGGGCAACCCGGTAGTATTCAGTTCAGTTCAGTTTGAACAACCATTAAGCATGCACTCCCATGCGTCACTTATGGTTGCTGTCTTTTGGCGGGTCATTTGGGTGGACAATAGGAGGAAAACAGGAAGGTTGAAAGTAGGATCGAAGAGAAGATTGAGTTCAGTGGACTAATGATGCAGAGAAATTGACATGATGCTACTGTTTACGACACGCAGCCTAACGGGACCTATGTGACCCAGACTCCTGGTTAGGGTTTTCATACCCTCGTGCCAGGTCTTAGCTTGACTTGACTTTTTTCCACCCACTACCTGGCTCGGCGAACATCGCTCGCTGTGGCAACTTATTTGGCGACATGCGCAAAACATGCCAACCAACGTAATCTATGGAGGTCGACCACTTGCTCCAGTGGGCGACCGCGGTTGCCTAAAACTCTGCGCCTAACCTCAGCATTGCCCGTCTGGCTGCCCCGCCAGATTCGTGCAATGCTGCGTAGACAGCTGTGTTCAAACACCGACGGTATCTTTATCCTGTTTTCTCAACGGTCAAGTTTCTGCTCCATATAGCAGAACTGGACGATCTGCTGTAGCATACATTTGACCCTTCAGCTGGATGTCGCGACGGCGCCACAGATGTACCTGGCAGTATTTTGCTCACTGGCAAATCACAGACCTTGTGGGCTAAGACGCGTGTGAAATATAACCGTTTCATGAAGTTACGTGAATCTCGCAGCTCCATTACTCACAATCGGATGTTCACCAGGATCCATTACGATAGAGCCATCTATCAGTTTGCTACGTGAAGACGCGTCAGAGAAAATACAGCTCTGTTCCTGAACATACACCGCAGATGCGCATGACTTTGGTTCTCGTCCGACTTTAGCTAATTTTACCGTGATACAAAGCGAATAATTTCATGATTTTACTAGTTTCCACTGCATGATAAACGAGTCACAAAAGATAAGTTGAGCTTTTCCACCTTTACCCACTGTACAGTGAGTCAGCACATTATCAAATTTGCTTGCTCCAAGACGGTGTCTACGTTGTCACCAAAAATGAAGGGGAAATATACTGTACAACCGACCGAGAGACATCATTTATTAATTGAAAGAGAATAAATGCACGGAAAGCAGTGATGCAATTCTTAACAAACGACTAGCGAAAAAACAGGCCACATGAACACTGCAGTTCAATGTCTGTGTCGGCAGTTATCAATATTATTATTCACACCAATCTTCATAGATACGGGAGTCGTGAATCACGTAACCCAGGAGCCACTGAAGTGGATGGAAATTCTGGTATGTTTGTACCCGATTCGATGCAGTTTCGGAGCGTGTCATTATTATCATCACCGTGACAGCGAAATATAGGAGTATAACATGCCGTCTTACAGTCTATATCTCCAAACAAAGTAAACTAATTAAAGGATGGTGAATGCTCAACCTATTGAACAGTAGAAAATCTACCGCTAAGTATAGTCCGACGACTTGACGTGCATGTTTGTAGTTAAGGTACTGTGTTGGCAATAACTATTCTCATGTTAAGGCAAGCGCCTAGCATTCAGATTACACAGCTGCATCCATCTAACCTATTGAAGGCAGGGCAATGATCTATGTTCGCTTCGTCTATTATACAACGGTGGATATTCATATTAGATAATTATAGTGCTAATGTACCAAAAAGTATACCACCTCTGAAAAACCATCACCATGCTGTTTGGCACAAAACCGTTACCAAAACTTTGCGAAAATCGCTTACAACGTATGGAGTGCGCCAAACCAGACCAGTTTAACCTGGTCCATGTCTGCTATCACAGTATAAGTAACAAGCAGGTAAAATTATGAACTTACCGTGATTTTCTGAATTTTGAATACTGGACCTTCGAGTGGATATCAGTTTCACGATGGTNCTCCTGCCGTTGCATCGTCTAAACTCAACAGAGAGTGTAGAACCGGGCGGTCGGCCAAAGTAAGACGGTCCTTTTTGCAACATAGTAAATAACACTGATTTTACTAACCAACTCCGCTTCGTGTTTGAAGACTTCAAGAGTGCTTTCGAGGTTTGCGTAGCTTAGGAACTCGGCAATCAGGGACACGATGATCAGGCCTTACTAAATATAAATGAGCCATCCAACACAGCAAGATTACCATCTTCTGTGGAACATATATTCCGCAGAAATGCATTTGCAGGAGGAATTTTTTGACTGTAATTATGTTTCTCCAGGGCCAGATAAACAGCAGCTCGAAGCTGAGCCTAAGCCATAAATGGCCATTCACCGTAAACAACAAAGAGTGTATTACCTGAAGTCTGGGAAGTATGCCCGTTTCATTTAACGACCGCACAAGGACATCCTTGAGATCGGCATCCTCGTCACTCATATCTCGAATATCCGACCAATCATCAGCTGATGTAAACCAGAACAACACAAGACCGAGAGGACCTCGGCGAAAAATCCGAAAATAACGAAACTGACCGCCAATAAAAGTAATAGTTAAAACAAATTTCAGTTCAGTTCAGAAGTCTAGAACTTCATTGTGACATGCCAAATGATCATGTTCTCCCTGAAGATGACTCTGAGATCATCTCGTGTTTCAAATTACGACAGAAATATCCTCCATTTTTTCAGGTCAGGTCAGGTATTACAGGACGGCAAAGGCTTCCGCCAACCAAGAGTCCAGATTCTTGCTTCCGTAGGAAAGTTTCGTAGACACTATCTTATCGCTACCAACAGCTAATACGTATATGTCGCGAACGGACGTTCATACGAAAACAGAACGAGACGATTCACGAAACGGAGGACGGGTTGTATTGTTACGACCTGCATAGCAAAAGGGAGATACGGAGGCGCGAGCAAGCGTGTGGAAAGTGAAATCAACCACCTGATGACCAAAGATATGGCCTGGGTGTGGTAAAACAATGAGATGCACAGGGGGAAGGGTACGTGTAGAATGGGAGTTGTTTGGTCACCACCAAGCTCCCCTCTCAGAAGGATAGGATGAGCGTACGATAAGGGTGCATGCATTGTTCGCCTTGGTTTGTTAGTCCGGAAAATTGGATCGCTTGGTGGGTTGTCACGGAAATATTGGGAATCACCTGTCGAAATAGTTCCAGGTGATGTGGCAGGAATTGCAGGCCCACAAATGAAATGTGGGGGAATGAAAATGTCACGGAAAAACGTCTGCAGATGCGTAGTCGTTTTACTAAATACCCCGTTTTCGTCTGTCTTTAAAAAAATAGGAGGACCATCCCAGCTTGGCAACAGCCAGTAAAAAAAACGGACGGTGCTGTCAGAAAATGTCTTTGATACCTATTTTGTGCTGGAGCGGCGGGGAGGATA